CCTCCTCCTCCTCTCCTTCCCCCCCTTCCTCCTCTTCCCCTCCTCCCTCCTCTTCCCCCCCCTCCTCCTCCTCCCTCTTTTTCCTCCTCCTCCTGCTTGTCGCCTCCCCACTCCTTCACCGCCACCCCTTCACCTCCTTCCACATTTCATGACCAATCAGTGTTTGGCCACATCAGTCCCTGGCACCACAAACACTTACAAGACACAGAAACGAGTCTGCCTCACTATTTACTCAACCTTAACCATATGCATTTCATAACCGTCTTTTAAAATTCATTGGAGGTTTTGTGGGTCAATCTACATTTGTGTGTGTGTGTGTGTGTGTGTGTGTGTGTGTGTGTGTGTGTGTGTGTGTGTGTGTGTGTGTGTGTGTGTGTGTGTGTGTGTGTGTGTGTATTAGTTCATGAGGGATGTATTGTGTGCAGCGTTTGTAGTGGCTGATTGTGTGTTTGTACTGTAAGTTTGTGTTAATTTTATGAAATGGTTGAACATCATATAACGATAACCTTGAAGAGTAGGCCATGAGTCTCTGTCTTCAGTGTTAAGTAAACACTAACAGCTGTAAAATACTCTCGTTGTATTACTGGTATACAGTACCTGGTGTATAATACTACTGCTGTGTTACTGTTATACAAGCAGTCAGTGAACCATAATACTCATTACAACACTGCCAAGTGGACTGATAGCTGATATTATTACGTATAACGCCACCCCTCTCCCCACCCCTACCCCCCTCTTCCCCACCACCTCCTCACCCCCACCCCCTCACCCCCACCACCCCTCCTCCCCCACCACCCCCTCCCTCCACCCCCCACCACCTCTCCCATCTTCCCTTCCTCCACTCACCCCCCCCACCACCCCTCTCACCCCCCTCTCCCTTCCTCCCTTCAGCTCTTACCCTCCCCCCTTTGTGCCACCTCCTGCAAGTTACAAATTACCACACTTTAAATGACTTATAAATAGATTATATAACATTACAGGAGTATCGTGTTTGTCTCGGTGATAACTTGTCTCTTTCTTTAAGGTAATGTCTCTTTCACTTGACAGGTGTGTCTGTAGACCTGACGTGACGATGTTTGATGGTAAATAAAACGCTTTCTAACGTCACTACAATAACAAACACGCATCATTTAAATAAGATTAATGAGAAAGACAGACAATATAAGAACTGTAAAACAAAAGAGGATCAATGTAAACAAGTAAAAAAAATCAAAACAAAAATTGTCCGTCATTGTTAAGAATTTCCTCCTCTTATTATCACTGTGTTTACCTTTAACACAGACGAGGCGGTGTGGGTGTTGCTCCTCCTCCAGGATAGGTGTACAGACCAGGGTTTACCAGCTCGTATAGATAAGCACATGAACAAACTTACTCCCAGGGAAGGTGCCGCTCACACACTCGCCCACACAAGCACGAGAGAGCCCTTCACTGACGCCCTCAAGTATACCCCGTCTAGGGTGTGTTCATAGCGTGACCACCATGTTAAGAACTCCCCTCATAAATCAGACTTACTTTCTTAAGCAGTGAACCTGAACTCACCCGGTAATGTTTTGACTATGAGTTGCATTTGTACTCTCGAGAGCTTAGGTACCAATTTCAAAACGCTTCTGTACCTAAAATAGAAACTTGAGTGGATAATTTGGTACATTAAATCCCAGCTTACGAGCACGACAAGCGACTACATCAAAGGTATCATAAACAAACTTGTCCTTACGCCTGAACCCTGTGTGTAAAGTCCAGCGTTTCATTTTGTTTAAGTTGGTGTCCGAATTCTTATCTTTCAAACCTGAGAGTCTGGTTCAGGGGTTGGGCGCGTGTACTGTGCCAAGCTCATCTTGATAAACTGACCTCAACTGCTGTCTCACCCCGCGAATTAGGTTAAGTAAGGTTAGGTTAGGTTAGGTTAGGTTAGGTTGTTAAATGCTGACTTAAAGAATGACTTAATGGTTCTCTTACACCCTCAACCCCGTCCCCTCCCCTCCCTTCCTTCCTCCATCCAACTTTCCCTTTCTCTTCACCCCTTTCCTCTCCTCTTATACGCCCTCCCTTTCCCCCCCTCCCCTCCTACGTCCCTCCGTGCCGTCCCTCACTCACCACTCTCTCCGTCCCTCACCTATCCTCCCTCCCTATTGTCCAAACATTAAAGCGCTACCATACAACATCCTCCCCAGGTGTGTCATAGAATAAACTTCCATTTTACCGTGTTATGTGTTAGCCCCCTCTGTGTTGTGTACCTAAACTAATACTTTCAACATCTGTATACTTGTATTACGCTATACACTCTTAACTCTTGAATTATACCGTATATAAGAGTCATATGTATGTTTATTCTTCATCATCTTTTAAGGTTCATCTTCAAGACCCGAATTGCGTCTCTCAGGAAGCTTCAATCATGTTTTATTGTCAATTTTGTGGGGTAAATAAATATTCTGAATTATAGTGTCATATTCTCTCTCTCTCTCTCTTACCTCCCGTTCCTCTCCGCTCTCTCCCTCCTTCCCTACTCTTACTTGCCTCCCACTTCTCTTCCTCTCCCTCCTTTCCTCCTTCCCTCTCACTTCCTCTCCTATCTACCTCCGCTCCCTCTCTCTCACCTCCCTCTCCCCAACCTCCCCTTCCCTCCCACCCTCTCCCTCCCTCACTTCCCACCCTCTCCCTCCCTCCCTCCCTTCCTCTCTCATGTTTGCAGGTGGAGGGAGCCGAGTCACTGTTGCTAACACAAGAGAATGGGAAATCTCTTAACCTCTTCACTTTCTCTCGTGTTCCTTTCAATGTGTGTGTGTGTGTGTGTGTGTGTGTGTGTGTGTGTGTGTGTGTGTGTGTGGTAGAGTGACTTTATGGTATATCTAAACCCATTAAGTAACTCTTTCCTTTAAGAAGCCTTGAACAACTCCTCTGGCTTTGTCTTGGGTAAATACACGTGTTTACAGTACAGTACACGCTGACTCTACTGCCACTTAGATAATGGTAAAGTCCTCCAGCGCTCCACACCTACCATCTGCAGTACATTTCATTATATATAATATTCCTTACCTCGTGAAAATGACTAAAAATCAACGATGAAAACGTTTGTTATAATATCATTTGTTACGATTTATTCCTCCTGAACACTCACTCACCTACCCTCGGGACATCCAAGCCACAAATGTTCCTTGTTACGTCTGTCGTGTCAGTTCGCCAAGTCCAGACCTAATCCAACCTACAAAAACCTACCTTAACATAATCTAGATTTAAACAATTATCATCTAATAACATAAATAAATGTCTGAAAGGAACCAACATAACAACTGTTTAAAATTTATCGTCCATGAACCAACATATCCAAACCTAAAAGAATAGTTATCTTGTATTGTCTTTTAAAATCAAATATTGTCTATAAAAGGAACCACTCATACGTCACATAAGTGGAGAAGAAACATTGTTGACGTGGAAGGTCGACCGTTGATTTGTGTTCAGGTGAGAAGAAATCGTAAAAGTGAGAGTACGAGAGACTTTCCTCTACCACTGTCTGGCCTTTAATGAGGTAAGTAAACATTGATCTCCTCTGGTGTCATGTCCTTAAGTTGGTAGTTCTGGGTGTGTGTAGTTATACTCTTACTTCATATTGAATAAATATCTATCTACCCTTAAATTATCCATTAAACAACCGTCAGTGGGTTAATATTACTTACGTTACCCCTAAAAATACTCGTTATTATTCTAACAAAGAAAATGTAATAGAATAATAGAAGGCCTAACAATTTTATTTTAGCTGTTAATTATATTATTGGTATTATGGATCATTAAGAATTAAAATGAGATGATGTTTAACCCAAAATAAACGTATATAATTTAGAACGTCACTTTTGTGCGCTAATGGTTTGGTTCCTTCGGGATATTTCCTGAAAGTTTTTATTAATGAGGAGGCAAACCTGACGAGGGAGCAAGAATCATTTAATCAGAATACAGCCTTTATATCTGAGGGTTGGTGACCACAGTCCTCCACTCTAAACGTTCTCGGTCTGTTTTTACCAATCCTGTAAGGGGACCCAGTTTTTTATTTCATTCACCCATCCTTGTCACTGCCCTCCCCTGGACCTCCTACCCTCAACTTTGCCCATTAGTATTTCTGTTATTATCCCCTCATCCCTAATTATATGACCCAAAGTATATATATTGTTTGTGCATAATTCAAGCATTTCTCTTGAGGTTTTTGTTAACCTTAGTATTTTTTCATTTGTTTTCCAGTCAGTGTAACTTATTTTTAACATTCTTCTATAATATCACTCACTCTTTCTGATGTCTGTTGGAAGTGTCTACTTTCTTATCCACACAACAGTCCTTTCAATAACCTTTTTTTTTAATTAAAGTTGATTTCCCTTCATTAGGTCTTTTAGATAATAAAGCTGTTGTTTCTTGCCCTATTCTTGCTATGATTTCTTCTGTATATGTACTGTATCATCAAAGTTAATGTTACTTCTCAAATACACAAAATTTTCCGCTTCTTTTAGTTCCCTGTTTCTTCCATAATTTTTATTTTAGGATTTATTTCCAATTTGTTAACAACCATTACTTTAGTCTTTACAGCATTAACTCTTAAACCATATTTTTCACCTTTTTGTAATACCTCCGTCAGGTCCTGGGCCTCATGTCCGGTACATCATCGTACAGGCTATAATCGATTATGCTTCTCCCGTCCTTTGCGGTTGGCTCCTGACACGAGCAACTAAACATCGAAAACATTTGGTTGAAACTCGTCTTGGTTGCCCTACAACTACCAGAATAGAAGTCATGCTTCTGCTCACCGTCTGCGATCGAATTACTGCCTCTGATGCCATCCATGGTGTCAAACTTCTCTGCTGAGTGGCTGACTCCTATGCCGCACTCACATCGCCTGACCCCACCACCCGTCCCTCTCCCTCACGACACTGACCGACCCACACCGCCGCTGACGACACCCTACCACACTCTATCATCTCTATACACATAAGATGAACACATACAACATTCAAACCAAATTATTAAAAAATAAGAGAGTTCCAATACCAATAATATTTCCCAGCATTGTTAAGATAGTAGACCATGAACTCTGGACCCTGGACACTAGACCCTGGACCTTGAACACTAGACCCTGGACCTTGAACACTAGACCCTGAACCCTGGACACTAGACCATGAACCCTGGACACCAGACCCTGGACCTTGGACACTAGACCCTGGACCTTGGACACTAGACCATGAACCCTGGACACTAGACCATGAACCCTGGACACTAGACCATGAACCCTGGACACTAGACCATGAACCCTGGACACTAGACCATGAACCCTGGACACTAGACCATGAACCCTGGACACTAGACCATGAACCCTGGACACTAGACCATGAACCCTGGACACTAGACCATGAACCCTGGACACTAGACCCTGAACCCTGGACACTAGACCCTGGACCCTGGACACTAGACCCTGGACCCTGGACACTAGACCCTGGACCTTGGACACTAGACCCTGGACCTTGGACACTAGACCATGAACCCTGGACACTAGACCTTGGACCCTGGACACTAGACCCTGGACCCTGGACACTAGACCCTGGACCCTGGACCCTGGACGTAGAACAAAGGCAGGGGCAGCAGTTCACAATACAATAGTTCAACATAAAACACCTGTCAGTAAATACCAACAGACTAAAGTGTAAACAATGAAGAGGAATTCCCCCACCTGTTATTATTAAAAGGTAACTCTTTGTTAATTATGACCGAAGGGAATTTTGTCATCACGTGTACAGGGTGATTCAAAAGTCTCAAACCTTTTGAATATTTATTTCACAATTGAATTAAAATAATTGGCCAAACCACGAACCTCTGACAAACAAACACATTGGGTTTTTTTAGCATAAGTTTCGTTGGACATTTCTTACCATTAACACATTGACTTTACCTTATTATAGGTTCTGTGATGAGAGACAGTACAGTACCAGCAACTTAACTACAGTATTATCTCACCACAGTCTTCCATCTGTTTATTACTGTTCAGGATGTTCTCAAACTATATGGACTAGTAAATGATGTTTTATATTTCGGCCACAAAAAACCTAAACTTAACCAACCCGGAGATATCACATGATGCTGACGTATGGTCGTTTATAAGCTTAGTGATAACCTAACCTAACCTAACCTGACCTGACTTGACCTAACCTGACCTGACCTAACCTGACATGACCTGACCTAACCTGATCTGACCTAACCTAACCTAACCTGACCTAACCTAACCTAACCTGACCTAACCTGACCTAACCTAACCTGACCTGACCTGACCTAACCTGACCTGACCTAACCTAACCTAACCTAACCTAACCTGACCTAACCTGACCTGACCTAACCTAACCTAACCTGACCTAACCTGACCTGACCTAACCTAACTACACCGACCATCATATTAATTGGGTGATTGGAGTGTTGTTGATGGAGGCTAATGATCTGCCAGTTATTGAGTTAGTTTGTATATAGTATATTTGATAATTTAGGTTTGTGATGACGTAAACATTAAACTCTGCCCACGATCTTATGTCTCATGGGTTAGGTTTAAATATGATTGGTTTAACGTCTTGAGTTATGGTGAAGGTAATGATTGGTTTAGCCTCTTGAGTTATGGTGAAGGTAATGATTGGTTTAGCCTCTTGAGTTATGGTGAAGGTAATGATTGGTTTAACGTCTTGAGTTATGGTGAAGGTAATGATTGGTTTAACGTCTTGAGTTATGGTGAAGGTAATTATTGGTTTAGCCTCTTGAGCTATGGTGAAGGTTATTATTGGTTTAGCCTCTTGAGTTATGGTGAAGGTAATTAGTGGTTTAACGTCTTGAGTTATGGTGAAGGTAATGATTGGTTTAACGTCTTGAGTTATGGTGAAGGTAATTATTGGTTTAACGTCTTGAGTTATGGTGAAGGTAATTATTAGTTTAGCGTCTTGAGTTATGGTGAAGGTAATTATTGGTTTAACGTCTTGAGTTATGGTGAAGGTAATGATTGGTTTAGCCTCTTGAGTTATGGTGAAGGTAATTATTGGTTTAACGTCTTGAGTTATGGTGAAGGTAATTATTGGTTTAACGTCTTGAGTTATGGTGAAGGTAATTATTGGTTTAACTCTTGAGTTATGGTGAAGGTAATTATTGGTTTAGCCTCTTGAGTTATGGTGAAGGTAATTATTGGTTTAACGTCTTGAGTTATGGTGAAGGTAATTATTGGTTTAACGTCTTGAGTTATGGTGAAGGTAATGATTGGTTTAGCCTCTTGAGTTATGGTGAAGGTAATGATTGGTTTAACGTCTTGAGTTATGGTGAAGGTAATTATTGGTTTAACGTCTTGAGTTATGGTGAAGGTAATTATTGGTTTAACGTCTTGAGTTATGGTGAAGGTAATGATTGGTTTAGCCTCTTGAGTTATGGTGAAGGTAATTAGTGGTTTAACGTCTTGAGTTATGGTGAAGGTAATGATTGGTTTAGCCTCTTGAGTTATGGTGAAGGTAATTAGTGGTTTAACGTCTTGAGTTATGGTGAAGGTAATGTTCCCACACGAGCCTCATGTTTATGTTGTATTAATTGTGGGTTTGGCAACACTGTTTTCCTGGATAATGATAGGGTGGTTTTGTTTACTATATGGGGGGGGGGGTAACAAGCCATCACTGGTAACATGTCGACACCTTGGCCCATGGGGTGAGGGTTACCAAGGGGCAGTAAGAGGGAGACCTGGAAGGATGATTAGGGAGGGGAAATGAGGGTTTGGCAGGGATTACTAAAACGCGGGTGGGGGCCCCGTAGAGTTAGTGCTCTCGCGACTCTCGAGGAAGACGGACGTGTGTTAAGCGGACCTCCTCACGCACCCTCCCTCGTCCACTCTCTCACTCAGTCAACAACAATGGCGAGCTTATCCATTATTAAACCAGAGGAAAAATGTATAACAGTAATTAATGAAGGGGTTATAGTGACTGATTTAATGCCTAAGCCTCTGCAAGTTTTATAAAGGTGTGAGTGTTTTGACAAGGAGAAAGTTACCAAGACGAGATACCATTGAAGTTCATTTTTTGATCTAGTGAAGTTGTTGAAATTGTTATATTGTAGTTATCGTTGAAGAAAAGTGTTTATAAGTTACTTTTAACATTGTTTATTGTTGATGAAGTGCTGTTAATATATTTACTTTTAACGTTGGAAAAATATAACTATACTCGATTAAGTGCTGATAAGTTACTTGACGTAGAAAAACAAGATTATGATCGTTAGTGAAAAGTGTTTATAAGTAACTGTACGGAGCAAAACAAGCCTAAAGTGACGTCATTGCAGAGCCAGTGATACGTCATAAGGAAAACTGACGTCATCAAGACGAAAGTGACGTCATCAACTACCTAGGTGACGTTATAAAGAAGCCAAAATAACTTCATTGGGGAGCCAGTGTGACGTCATCTTGAAGCCCGTGATGAGTCAGGACAAACGCCAAAGGTTCCACGTGAACCGGGTGGACACTCAGGACCAGCGGGGCGATGCTGAGACCACCCACTCACCGCCCATCCCAGGTACCTATCCCGCCCACCCTGTATTACTAGCCCATCCACCCTGTGTTACTAGCCCATCCACCCTGTGTTACTAGCCCACCCACACTATGTTACTAGTCTACCCACCCTGTGTTACTAGCCCACCCACCTCGTGTTACTAGCCCACCCACCCCATGTAACTAGCAAACCCACACTGTGTTACTAGCCTACCCACCCTGTGTTACTAGCCCCATCTACCCCATGTTACTAGCCTACCCACCCCATGTAACTAGACCACCCACACTGTGTTACTAGCCCACCCACCCCATGTTACTAACCCACCCCATGTTTCTAACCCACCCCATGTTTCTAACCCACCTACCCATGTTACTAACCCACACCATGTTACTAGCTCACCCACCCTATGTTAATAGCCCACCCACCCCATGTTGCTAACCCACCCATGTTTCTAACCACCCACCCCATGTTTCTAACCCACCTACCCATGTTACTAGTCCACCCACCCTATTTTAGTAACCCACCCACCCATGTTACTAACCCACCCACCCACCCATGTTACTAACCACCATTGTAGCCCACCCACCCATGCCATTAACCCACCCTAACCCACCCACCCTAGTAGCCCACCCACCCCATGGTACTAACTCCACCCTATGTTAGTAGCCCACTCCACCCCATGTTACTAACTCACCCTATGTTAGTAGCCCACCCACCACCCCATGTTACTAACCCACCCTATGTTAGTAGCCACCCACCCCATGTTACTAACCCACCCTATGTTAGTAGCCCACCCACCCCATGTTACTAACCCACCCTATGTTAGTAGCCCACCACCCCATGTTACTAACCCACCTATGTTAGTATCCCACCCACCCCATGTTACTAACCCACCCTTTATTAGTAGCCCACCCAATTTTATTTTCAGTTATTGGAGAGGTTTACTGATAAAAAATTGATTGATTCATTATTAATTAAACCTTGTTGCCTGATATAGCTTGGACTCTCATCAAAGAGCCATTAATACCACTGTCTTTCCCTTCTCATTGGTAGACATCGAGGAGATATGTGACTCACCCACGTCCCCACCGTCGGACCTTGAACCCAACATGGGCACTCACTCGGGCACTCTTTCGGGCACTCACTCGGGCACTCAATCCACCTTCCGCTCCCTCCGTCAGCTGACCAGGGAGGCATTACCCCGGCTCGACCACTACCGTAACCTGGCCAGTATTATGCATGGTCCAGAGGCGCATCAGAGGCCCACCCTAGATGACCTCCACCAGCCACCTCCCAATAAGGTATGGTTGTTTATCTCTCTCTCTCTCTCAATATCATTTAAGAGGACAAAGAAAACAGATAATCTCACCTCACTTCAAGGCTCATTATCTCCAGACGCCCGAGAGACCCCTTAGTGTTCTGTAATGTTCTCTTGGTGAGGAGAGACCGGGTAGGGAGGGGGTGAGACATGAGGAGGAGGATAAACAGACTGGAAAGGGAAGGTGAGATAATGAAGGAAGGACAGATAGAAAGAAGAGGAGAGATAATGAACGAATAGGACACAGAGAAAGAAAGGGAGATAAGGTAAGAAGAAGAGATAGAGATAATTAAGGAAGGAGAGACTAGAGAGAAGCAGGTACACAGAACCATCAGTCATTCAACAACAACACAAATGTGGAGACAAAAAAATACGTGATCAGGTTTAATGTGTTGCTGATGGTCCACACCTGTTGTTGACACACCTTTGACCATACCTGTTGTTGACACACCTACCACAACTGTTGCTGGCCACACTTGCTACCACTCCTGTTGTTGCTGACCCGCAAATATCCGCTACCAGTACCATACCTTTTGCTGAAGCGACACACCTACCACACCTGTTACTAATACGTCACACATCCCACACCTGTTGCTGGTCCAACAGCATTTCCTTCCGGTACCATACCTGTTGCGGACGCGACACACCTACCACACCTGTTGCTGACGCGACACACCTACCGCACCTGTTGCTGACGCGACACACCTACCGCATCTGTTGCTGACAAACCTACCACCTGTTTCTGATACACACCTGTTGCCAAACCTGTTTATGGTTCGACACATTTGCTACCACACCTGTTTCTGACCCGAGACACCTGCTACCACACCTGTTGCTAACCCGACACACCTGCTACCACACCTGTCTCGGTCCGTGAGTCATAAAGGTCATATTTTTTGTATCTAAAAGGCATCTTATTGACTGTTTTAAATACTACGATAAAGTATAGTGTCCATTATGGTGTTGATAACTGCACCCAGACTACCATGTACTCTTGTTATACAGTGAACCTCGTGTATATAACAGCATACTGTAACATTTTTCTATGTTTAGCTCATATTCATATTTATGTTTATGTTATTTAATATTAATTTTGTGTATTGTTATTTATTGTTTGTGTCAGGTTAATAAACTACTGTACAGGTTGTTATTAGTATCGACAACAGTGGCTGGTCTGACTTAACGTATCCAAATGATTCAATGTTCAAGAGAACGAGTCGGAACATTTCGTGTCACTCTAGTGAACTACAGTTGACCAATCATCATCTTTCCTGAGCTTATAGCCAATGAGAATTCTGTGTTGCCCCATGTACAGTAATAATACGTCCCGCACTCACACTCTGAGAGACTCGCCTACATGGATTACTCTTCCCGCTCAGTATCTCTGCCATATAGTGTATCAGGTAAGGTAACCTCAGCCATTGCTCTAGACCTGAGGGTATTGTCTCAGGTGACTATAGTCTTCCCTGTGGTCACTCCCCGGGCTCCATATTTATATCCTCTACTCTCAACTGGTTTACTGCCATATGTTATTAAGCTTCACCTTAACTCTTCTTTATAAATTTACTCCGTATTTGTTGTCTTAAATGGTTAGAGTTACTGTTGTTTTGATACTTGCTTGTTTGCTTCACCACGTGTACCTCTGTGGAAAGTAGTAATGTTAGAAACACTAGTTTGTTATATAAGCTGACCCTCTTACTGAACCCCAACGGACAAAACCCCAGTCTCATATTTACAATATAAAATAAAACACTTTTAAGCTTAGGTTAGGTTAGGTTAGGTTAGTGTTGACAAATGAGAACCCCGTTGGGGTTTTATCCGGTGACCACATAGACTATACAGGTGATCTTGGGTGCCTTGATCAAGGGCAAGATAAATAAGGAGGAGAGGGAGGGGGGGAAGGATAGACAGAGGCAGATAGAGAGGGAAGCAGGAGTGGAGAGAGAGAGAGAGACGTGTAAGCAGACAGGGAGGGATATTTGGGAAGGAGAGAGACACGGGGTGAGGGAGGGAGCGGCTGAACTTTGATCTTACTCAGAAGAGTATTCATGTCGCGTGACCCGTAACTCACTGATTCATTAGCACACGACATGAGGCAACCTGTCCGAACAGCGGTGGCAGAGGTGGTTCACGGTGTACCAACAGGTGGTTCAAGGTGTACTAACAGTGATAGCATATCGTAATTGCAATCAATTACTTGCCAAAATAATTGTAATCAGTTACATAGTCATTGTAATTACCCCATGGCTGTTAATCAAAATAAAAACAGTTTAGACAAACAGCCATATTGACAAAATACGGGTTTAAAACTGTTACCATGACGACCCGGTGTCAACATGGACGAGTTCCACTGAGGTTATCGCTGACTTGTAGACTATAGTACTGAATCACTTAGGTCAACTCTTCCCAGGTGTTGGTGGTCGTTTAGTGTGTTTGGTAATAATTCACGTGTTTTGTTCATTATAAAATATACGAGTTTAATCCATTACTGAACTATTGTCCAAGAAACTGGGTAATAATTTATTTCTCTTCATTGCACAGAAAAGTTTTATTTCTCAAAGTAATTTCATCTACAAACGCCATTATTTTAGTCGATCATTTATATTGTTCTGTTAAAGATATAATTAGTCTGTATATAAATTAGAGACACAAGTTTTACTACACCTGAGAAACGTGTAATAAATCACTAAACGTTTGGGATAATTACAAGAACGTTTGCGCTTACCTGGTTCAGCCTTTCCTAGACTCCCAGGTGTGTTGTTGAGTGAGTGTTATTTTTGGTGTGTGTGTGTGTGTGTGTGTGTGAAGCCAAAGGGTTGCATTTAGGTGTAGAGCCTTCACGTCACGCACCCAGGAACCCACATACATACATACATACATACATACATACATACATACATACATACATGCATACAGTTAACATAATTATATAGTAGAGTGTTACTTCATATCTGCCTGGTGTTAACACATGACTGACAAACACGAAAGAAGTCAAACAAATCTGATAATGAAGGTGGTGGAATGAGGACAGCGCCACCCACCCAGCCACTCACTCCTGGCAACTGATCGATACCGTGACGGGCGGATGGCACCGTATGTGGGCGGGTCCGTGCCTGAGGGGGTGGGTCATGTTGTTATTGCAGGGTGGTGTGGGTGTGGGTGGTTAAGGGTGTGTATGGATAGTTTAGAATGTGTGGGTGTGGATTAAGGGGGGGTGTGTGGGTGTGGTTGGAGGTGGGTGTACAGATGTGGGCGGATTAACTAGTAAGTTTTAAATACTTATAGATCCAGAAACGTTACTTATAGTTCAGAAACGTTACTTATAGATCCAGAAACGTTACTTATAGTTCAGAAACGTTACTTATAGATCCAGAAACGTTACTTATAGATCCAGAAACGTTACTTATAGTTCAGAAACGTTACTTATAGATCCAGAAACGTTACTTATAGATCCAGAAACGTTACTTATAGATCCAGAAACGTTACTTATAGATCCAGAAACGTTACTTATAGATCCAGAAACGTTACTTATAGATCCAGAAACGTTACTTATTGTCCCAGAAACGTTACTTAAGACACCATCAGGAGACATCAGTGTAGATTTAGAACAATATTAACCCCCCCATCACTCCCTATGACTGTGTGTTGACATGGTGGGTTAGTGTGTTTGTTTACTGACACCCTGACGAGTTAGGTGGGGGGTAGGGTCCAAGGGGGTTCAGGAGGTTAAAGGGAGAGTCTTAGGATTCAGGGAGGATTCAGGAGATTAAGGGGAGGTCTTAGGATTCAGGGGAGGGTTCAGGAGATTAAGGAGAGTCTTAGGATTCAGGGGGAGGGTTCTGAGGGTGAGGGGGGGGGGCAATGGTTCAGGGTTCCAGGGTGTCCTTCTTCTTCTTCTTCTTCTTCTTCTTCTTCTTCATGACTCGTAAAACTCGTATAGTCAGTCACCTTGTCTTCCTTCCCTCTCTCCCTAACGCCAGTACCTTATAATAGTCACCTCTCTATTGATTCTCCCTAAACTATTACATCTAATAGCCATCTGTCTGGACGTCAAATAGCTAATAATAGCCACCTATCTATTGGTTCTAGACTCTAAGGTTATAATACCCACTTGTCTATTGCTGCTTCCTATTTTTTTTTATCTAATAGTCATCTATCTATTGGCTCAGGACATTATATAGAATAGGTCCTTATAATCTAATGTGACTATTTTTCTCCCGACGTAAATTACAAAAATACCTACACTATGGCGACGTCACTTTAGATACTATGTCTGGCTAACACTCGACGGTTTATTCAGCCCAGATACCCTCGTACAGATGAGGTTAAAACGATAATTTATCTATTAAAATTGCGTTTCTTTGTAGTGTGTGTGTTAAGGTATGACAGAGGTTTGATCCCCCGGCAGTGTGAATATTGCCTCTGTCTACCCACCAGTAATTGGGAACCTGGATGTTAATCGATTTGCGGATCGTGTTCCTGGGCAATGGTTAGTCAGTGCAGTTGGAGAGTTGGTTGGTCATCTTGAATTATTCCTCGACACTGGGTCATGCAATTCGTTAACTCCGGGTGTGGTTGTTGTGTTGGCGATAGTTTCTACACCTTAAACAAATTCACGCCAAGGTGAGCCTTAGGACCGGCCAACCTGGGACACGAGGGGCAGCCATTATCCTGAAGAATTCATCCACGAGACTTCCACTTTAACCCCCAAACATAGACTTTCGCCATGAGACGTCATCTTTAACCACGAGACATTGATTTAACCATGAGACAGCACCTTTAACCCCGAAACACAGACTTTCACCACGAGACGTCATCTTTAACCTCGAGACATTGGTTTAACTACGAGACAGCATCTTTAACTACGAGACATCGACTTGAACTATGAGACGTCATCTTTAACCACAAGACGTCATCTTTAACCACGAGACGTTGACTTTAACCACGAGACGTTGACTTTAACTACGAGACGTTGACTTTAAC